AAACGAAAAATCTGCGACTGAAAAAAATAAGGATTCAAATATCAAAATATGTATAAAAGTGAAATCTGAAAATAAATATATTATTCAAAAAAATTGCTGAACTGAATCAAAAATAATATTCAACCTGAAAAATGTTTTTCAAATACTTTTTTTTATTTTGAATACATCATTGTATTTTTCAAAGTTCAGGATAAAAACTTGAACTTTCAAATACATTTTTTTTTTTTGAATGATCAAAACTTATGACCCTGAAATAGCTCCATACGGATTGGGCAGAGAACGAGTCCGAGAAAGTTAACTCCCCCATGTGACGTAATATGACGCGTTTGACGTTTAAAAAAAGCAGTTTCTAGTAGCAGAGTTCAAAACGGCTCCTTTTCCTCTGAATTCCTGCCCTTATGTCTTGTAAAACATATCAAATCCTGCATTAACATTTTTAATTGTAATTTTCAGGCAAGGTTAAGCATAAATGTAGTAAAAAAAAAACCCTGCAAGTTGCTCTTTAAAGTTCAGGGTAATCAACTGTTAAAAAAATACTGTTCACATTTTTTTATTTTCAATAAATCGATGTTTTCAAAGTAAATGGATAATCGTTTTTAATAATCGTGATATCAATTATTGATCCAAATAATCGAGATTATGATTTTTGCCATAATCGAACAGCCCTACTATTATGCGCTTATGCAATTAGTGTAAGCGCGCCACAGTTTATGAGGTCATTTTAAAAGTAGCTCCCATGCTGAAAAAGTGTGGGCACCCCTGCCTTTGTGCATGCAACTGATTGTGATCTTTTGTCTATGTAAGGTAACATTAGCATATAACGGCACATCACTTCACGCTGTTCGAGGAAGCATTATTTATGTGGAGGCGTTAGCTGACTGCAAGAAATGTAAGAAGCAAACAAGAAAAACAAAGGACCTCCTGCTGTGCAAATGCTATTGAGTGACAGAATAATAACTGCTGGCAAATATGTATGAACAAGCCATTTTTGTGCACAGGGATGGCTGTGGTGCATTGCAACCGAATAAAGGTGGAATCACTGAATTAAAAAAAAATAAAATTCAGGAGCAGGCGCAGCGTAATATTGTTACAGTGATTCACATCTGTGCATCCCTAAAACCCCTGATATCAGCCCCTCGAGGGAGATTTGTGATATTGGACAAGGTAAATAACATTTATTTGACTGTATTATTGTTGGAGTATAACATTCAACACAGTCACTGAATAATTTATCCATAGATTTACCCCTTAGCTCAAGTAACACTGGGTCAATTTAAAGAGTAACCTATGGGGTGGTACAGGTACTGCAAGGTACTCTCACATTTAAAGGAGTTCTTATAAGCATGGAAAAAAAGTTTAAATCACAAAACCCCCAGAAAATGTAGGTTCATTAAGCAAAGATATAATAGAATACAGAAATGTGTGGACAGATCTGTGTAACAGTACAACATTTTTTTTAAATATAAACTAAAAGAGGGAAGTTTGGCTTAGAATACAGAGGAACACATGCGATTTTGCTCTTTCTTTAATAAATGTATTAAAAAAAATTCCCTTCTTTCCCTCTCGCTCTCTCTTCCCACTCACCTCCCTCCTCCGCACTCCCCCGGCAGGGTGGCGACTGATCACAACACAGATAACACCACAGCCATCCTCAGAGACTGGCTTGTGAAGGTGCAGAATGACTATCACTATGTGGAGTGGAGGCCTGATGATGAAACCAGGTAGTGTGTGTGTGTGTGTGTGTGTGTGTGTGTGTGTGTGTGTGTGTGTGTGTGTGTGTGTGTGTGTGTGTGTGTGTGTGTGTGTCATGCTTTACTAAATGGGTGTGTCTGTGCATGTCTCCCAGTGCCTTTGAAGACGAGGTGGGGCCTAAGCACTGGAATAATCTGCGTTACGAACATGTAATGAAGCTCCGTCAGGCTGCGCTGGAGACCGCCCGTGAGATCTGGGCCGACTACCTGCTGGTATGTTATCATCCACGCAGCAGCTTCAAAAGCCTCCTCTTATTATGCAGCTACTGTCGGGGATGTCTCTGATGGGTGGTAAATTAAGCAGATTCGTGGGACTTAAATCCATTGTCGAGTACACCTGATTACAGCTGTTAAAAGGGTTTGAATTTGAAAATGAGCAAAGCTTGATCTTCCTCATAGTAAAAGAATGGGAACTGCATTAAACAGACAAAACTGCATTGAATAATGTTATGTCTTAGACATAAAGACATTTAAATAAATACTCACCAATGTAGATTTATTTAATGTTGGATTTGAGTTAGTCTAATATTTGTTGACGCTCTTTAACCATAAAGTGTTTCTTTGTGTTTTAAATTAGCCATTTTGTTACATCAGATTTCATTACTGATCTGGGTTTATGTAGCAAAGTAATTGAGAAGATGTAATGATGCTAGAGGTTAAATATTTGTTTGTTGTCAGTTTTGTATATGAGAGTTAACTGTAAATGTAGGAAGAAGCCTTAGCAATGTTGCTATGGTTACATGCATTTTTCTATGTGGGTTGATTTAGAGATGTGTCATGTTTTTCCCTCCAGCTTTAATATTTCTCAAAAAGATCTTAATACCACCTGAATGTGCACTGTGGAAACATTAAGTGAAAAGATAACAAGTACATTTTCCAATATCAGTTTAAGAGTTATAATTGGCTTTATTTAAACATATCTGAAGAAAATGTAGACTCAGAGCAGTCTTTATTTACTGCAGCTGCTCTTGGGTGAGACACATCCCGGTGGACAAACACAAAGGTTAAATTATGAGTTTTGGCAATTTGAAATTACATTTTTCTCAAGACATGGTAAAACAAGTGCAGTCTGTCGGTTAGCATTGTTTAAGGTTCAGGGCTGTGAGTTATAATGAGTTGTTAGGAGGGATGCTGAGGCTCAATCAATCTTTTAGTGACAGCAGGTGACACTTTATCTGTGCTCGCATGATTATGTTTTTGTGGGATTCTCGTCAATATCGTGCCCTTCTCTCTTGTCTGCAGGTGGCTGACTGTGACAACCTGCTCACCAACACGGACATGTTATGGAAGCTGATGAGTGAGAACAAGACCATTGTAGCGCCCATGCTGGAGTCCAGAGCCGCATACTCCAACTTCTGGTGCGGCATAACTTCACAGGTACTGCAGATGATTAGTTGTTATGCAGTTTAACCACCTATAGAGCTGGTATAGGTATTCCTCACAGTTCCTTCACATCAACTTCCTGTTTTTTGCAATACCACCTCCATGTGCAATTTACACTTTTGTACTGATATAATTGCTATTATTGGATGCTCAGTAACTTTGTATGTTCATGTACATCATAATGTTGCTTCTTATTTCTATTTTTACCATGTATGTGAACTTATTTCATTTTAATGTTCACATTTGTATTTTGTGCCTCTACTGTGACATGTTTACACGCTTTAATGTTCAATAAGCTCTTTATTTTTCTCACACTGCTTGTGCTGCAGCACCTCTTTTCACCCTCTGTCTGAAACCAGAGCCCAGTCTGCTCTGATTGGTTCGTTGGCCGGTGCTGTTGTGATTGGTGAACTGCTTAGAGGTGTCCCGTCCCTAGGCCTATCATGTACAACGTGTGCAATCATGTACAATCGCTAGCCCGTAGATGCGCATGTGTTACGTTGTGATGCCACTATGTATCCGAAATAAACAAAGGACAACAAAGGAGGCATTTCAGGCAGGGGGGGGGACGACACACTGTGTCGGAGAGAAACTCCCTGTAGAGGGAACTTTGGGATTTGAGACTTTGCAGACCATTTACATGCACAAAAGCCTATATCACGAACTACAGGACAGGGAAAACCCCAAAAAGCATAATTAATGTGTGATTGCCTTATCTGCACTCCCCCCTTTGCTGTAACATTCCCTGCTGTTGGACGAATAAAGGATTTCTGATTCTTACTAATTGTGTATCTGATCTGGGTGTGGTATTAACACTTTACTATGATAAGAATATTTAAAATGGCAACAATAGAAATCAGAGAAAACCTTTAAATTGTTTAAGTTACCACACCCAACCAGATTCTTTCTAAGTCCTTGTATACAGATATACAAATATGCATGTACTTAGACTAATGTTCTGCATGTTACTCTAGTATGGCCTCTTGACTCCAACACACACAAACCAAACAAACAGATTGTAGAGATTATACATAGTGTAGCCTCTTCGAAACGTCTCCATAAAAACCTCTTATTTCTGCATCCCAGGTGAATGATGTACTCCCAAGTCTGCTATTAACTCTCTGATTGTGAATACAATTCCTTTTCATGCAATCGTGCCGAATAATAAAGCCCATCTCCTTCCACCTTCATAAAACATAAATATAATCTAGAGAGAATTTACACTTTATTTCCTTTTTAAATGCATGAGGAAATCAAATTTGTGCAAACAAGTCACTTTAAAAACACTCTACATTAGTCAATTTAAAGGCTGAGTAGAGAGATGTTTCTGTTATTAAGTATTTCCCCCCAGATTTCCAAGCAGGATTTGAATGCTCTGTAAATATATTTTGTAAATTAAAGTAAATCATTTGTCTCACAGGTGAAATTAAACTTTATTGTCCTGAAATAACATCATATTTAGCTAAAGGTTTGTGATATCAGGAGATAATAGGTTTGCTTCACAGACAACCCACACGGCTCATTATGTTTAATTTGTTCCTACTTCTCTGTCTCTTACTGCGGGCTCCACTCAGATATTGCTGTCCGTGCTGTTTTATAAGATTACTTAGAACTAAAGGCCATTGTGTCTTTTAATTCATGCATCCCTTAGATAAAAGTTACTTTAATAAAAAACATTGTCATATATTTTTTTAACATATCATTAAAATTATGCGAACATGATTTTTTGACCAATCAAAGGTGCACATCTGATCTATCAGGCATTACATACTGTATGTGCATGTCTTGAATACAGTGTCTGTGATCTGTTGAGACAGGATGCCTTTAAGTACTCATCTTTGATTCTTGTCAAATCAGAGCTGACACACAGACGTTTTCTTTCGTCCAGCAAAAACATTAACCGACTCTCTGATTCCTGCAGGGGACTTTTTTCAAAAACACTTAATTCTAAGTATCCTAAAGGCAATACGCATCAGTCTGTCAGAGACTCTTCCTATTAGTCAGTATTACTCATTCTCTGTCAATTATTTGAATTTTGTAATTTAGTAGTAAAGAATTGAGTTTCAGATATGTCTTAATCCTTTAAAGTGTCTTCTTTGTAGACTTTGGACAGCCAATATTCAGATCTCAGTGAAATATAAGTTCCTCATTATTCCACAGCTTTTTATTTCTTTAGGAAACAAATCAGAGTAACGAAAGTAGTGTTTAACCGTACGGTGTTTGTGTGCACTCTGCAGGGCTACTACAAGCGTACTCCAGCCTACATGCCTATCCGTAAGCAGGAGCGTCGTGGCTGTTTCGCCGTGCCGATGGTTCACTCCACCTACCTGCTGGACCTGCAGAAAGAGGCCTCCCGGCAGCTGGCCTTTTATCCCCCACACCCCAAGTACAACTGGGCCCTGGATGATGTCATCGTCTTTGCCTACTCTGCTCGCATGGCAGGTGAGACAAACAGGTGTCAATTTCTTTTATCTGCAGGGCTGATGAAAGTGTTTCTAGGCATATTTTGTTGCGTATTTGATTAGGATAGTATTGCAATATTTGTTAAATGCAGCATATGTGACCAAGAAAGTACAAATCTGATGTAATTATTGTCGTGAGGTGCAATCGACAATTACAAAGTGTGAAACACTTTAACAAAGTTTGAGACAAATTTACATTTTCTAAAACAAATTTACATTTTCTAAAACAAAGTTAGCAAAACCCTTTTACCAAAGAAAAAACTATTTAACAAGATGCAAAACACTTTTACAAAGCTAGAGACAAATTTACAAGTGCCGAAACACTTTAACATTTTGCCGAAACACTTTAACAAACTAGAGAATCAAACCGGAATGGGAATGCCCATCATACCAGAAGTGACGTGCAAGTGATTGACGCAAACTTAAGTTTGTTTTGGCGGATAGACCGCCGGTACCTATGGACCTTTATGGTCGTTAAACATGTTTTGTCCGTTCTGTTGAAACCACCTGGTTTGTTTTGGATTAAGTCAACCGGATAACTCAAAACATATCCAGGATAGGTTGAACTAGATTCGTAGTATACCCCCCTGGTCGGGACCAGAGGCCTGTACTACGAAGCTGGTTCAACCTAACCTGGATATGTTTGAGTTAGCCGGTTGGCCTAATCCAAAACATACGCGCTCTCGCTAAACTGTGCTACGACGCGGGTTATCAAGTGTCAATGATAATATTAGACATATGAAGAAGTTAAACTTGAAACATCCATGACTTAAACACTTTATCCAGGATAAAAGCCACATAGTTGCACCTGCAAGGTGAATACAGCTGGTAAAAGAAAAAGTGTTTGAATGCGTACATTAACAGGTTTATGATATCACCTAAGACACGAGTGGATCTGACTTTAATTACATTTGTCTCGAGTGTTTTGTCAACTTAATGTGTTCCTTAAAATAATACTTCTGCATACAGTATGTGACACTGTGAGTGTTGCACGGCCAGATACGGCTCGGCTGACTCAGATAAGGAAATATATGATACATTATCATATACCCCCTTTAGAGCTTGTTTATCCATCTGTAAGCAACTGCCAGCTAGGTCTCTCAGTCACTCACTCCTGATCGTTCACTGCGCAGTGACAGCTGCTACGGGCCTGCTGTGTGAAATTGAAACTGATAGATAGGGCAAAGGTAGCCTATCGAAACGGCCCAGCCCTGCCCAGCCCAGTGGGCCACACCCCACTGGGCTGGGATGGGCAAACACCGGGGAAACTCCCGGTATTCCCAATGGCCAGTCCGCCCCTGTGTGTGTGTGTGTGTGTGTGTAGAGGTGTGTGTGGCTATAATGAAGCAGCCTGCAGTCGCTCTTTAGCTATCTAATGAAGGTAAACACAGCGTAGGCTGTGTGTAAAAGGCACAGCTCCACTTCCTACTTGGCGAACGTGTAACTTTCTTGTGTGCACGAGAACGTATCTCTTGCGCACGAGAAAGTATTTCGAGATGAGCAAAACCATGACACTTGGCCCAGGTGGTTTCCACAGAACGGACAAAACATGTTTAACGACCACAAACACACTCCTACCCTCCATACAGTAGGTACCGGCGGTCTATCAGCCAAAACAAACTTAAGTTTGTGTTAATCACTTGCACGTCACTTCTGGTATGATGCGCTTTCCCTTTCCGGTTTGATTCTCTAGTTTGTGTAAGTGTTTTGGCAAATGTTAAAGTGTTTTGGCACTTGTAAATGTGTCTCTAGCTTTGTAAAAGTGTTTCGCATCTTGTTAATTTGTTTTTGTTAATGTTAAATCGTTTTTTATTTGGTAAAAGTATTTTGCTAATGTAATTTTGTTTTATAAAATGTAAATTTGTTGTATAAAATGTAAATTTGTCTCAAGCTTTGTTAAAGTGTTTCACACTTTGTAATTGTCGATTGCACCTCTCATCCACCGTACTACAGGGATGTTCTGACCTACAATACTATTGTAGGTCAGAACACTATTCTATTTTGTACAGATCTTAACATATAAACACACCATGATCATTCAAAAAGATTTTTCAATGATTCAATGATGCAAAAATCCTCCTTCCCTTTAATATTGTGACTGATATCTTAATTGAAGTATCAGTAGAAACCTTTCCAAATTATTTGTTTCCAAATCGTTCTGCCCTTTTTGTAAGCATGATTTTCTTTTTTCCCTTCTCAGATGTGCAGATGTATGTCTGCAACAAAGAGGCTTATGGCTATTTCCCAGTGCCGATGCGTTCCCATGGCACCCTGCAGGATGAGGAGGAGAGCTTCTTGCATACTCAGCTGGAGGTCATGGGTGAGTCGACTATGTTAAGGAGCCTTTAAAAAGACCAGACAGATTTCTTTGTGTTGTACAGTTTCAGCAGAAGGATGCCAGTCTGCTTGTCTCAGACTCTAGGCTGTTGTTGTGCAGCTCTGCAGGTTTTGCAATTATTTAATTTCCCCCAATTATTCTTTAGCTTAACTGAATCCCTTTTTTGCTATAGTCATTATGTAAAAGAAAACCGGTTTTCTTTATATTTAGTTATAGAGTTACAAACTTCAACCATAGTGCAATAATGTATGCCTCTGCGTACAAACTACAAACTTAATTAGACA